CGTCCGGGATCACCCAGGGCCCGGGCGCACCGCGGGACGGGAGTCGGCGGGCCGCGCGGGAGGCGGTCTGGCAGCCCGCGAGCAGGGACGGCGTCCAGAACGGGCGCGCAGGCGTCTTCCCGCAACGCGGTGCGTGGCGGCCACAGACGGGGTGGCGGATGTCCGCGTGCGACCGGAGGGAGGTGTTCAGGGTATCATGGCGGTCCGCATGGTGAACGATGTTGCTGCCCTTAGAGTGTCTGTGACGCCTCCGTCCCCCACCAACGGAGGCCCTGGCGCCGGGCGGAGGGCAGAGCTCTGACGTCTCACTGGCGATGACAGGCAGTGGATCTGCAGCGACCTCTGCACCCCAGTCAAATCGCCCCCGGCCCAGACAGCCGGGGCGCCCGGTGCTCATAGGAGCGCATGTTTATTTGACAGGAAAGGCCGGGCGGGCCCTGCGCCGTGTCTGTGCGGGTGGGCTGGAGGCAGTCTCTTCTCCGCGCCAGGGTCTAGAAGGGTCGCCCGTGGCTCCTGCAGCGGTGGAAGCTGCTCAGAAAGGGCGCCGCGGTCACGCCCGCTTCCTCCCGCAGGGTGGCTCTCCTTCGAGGGCATGCTGCTCTTCTACACGGACTTCATGGGCGAGGTGGTGTTCCAGGGGGACCCCAAGGCCCCGCACGCGTCCGAGGCATACCAGAAGTACAACAGCGGCGTCGCCATGGGCTGCTGGGGCATGTGCATCTACGCCTTCAGCGCCGCCTTCTACTCAGGTGCCCGCCCCGCGCCCGGCCCGGCTTGGCGCCCGCGGCCCTGGCTTGGGGCGCCCGCGGGTGTTGGGTCAGGAGGGCCGTGTCTTCACGGTCACAGACGCGAAATCCGAGGTGGGGGCGGGGGCCTGCCGGCCGCGCTGCTCTGGGCCTGGGGGAGACCGAGCCTGAGGGTGTCGGGGGACAGCCTGGGGGGCCCAGGAAGCTGGGTCCCCGGAGGCCACGGGGCCGGGCGGCGGCCGCTGACCCTGTCCCTGGCCCGCAGCCATCCTGGAGAAGCTGGAGGAGTTCCTCAGTGTGCGCACGCTCTACTTCATCGCCTATCTCGCCTTCGGCCTGGGCACGGGGCTCGCCACCCTCTCCAGGAACCTCTACGTGGTCCTGTCGCTCTGCGTGACCTACGGGGTTTTGTTCTCCACGCTGTGCACCCTGCCCTACTCGCTGCTCTGCGACTACTACCAGAGCAAGAAGGTGAGCGCCGCCCTCCGCATGGCTCCGGCCGCTTCCCGGAGAAGCCACTCGGGGAGAGATACACGGTCTTGGGGACACACGGTCTCGGGGACAGCCACACAGTCCCGGGGATGGCCACACGGTCCCAGGGATGGCCACATGGTCCTGGGGACGGCCACACAATCTTGGGGATGGCCACACGGTCTTGGGGACAGACACACTGTCCCGGGGATGGCCACACGGTCTTGGGGACGGCCACACGGTCTTGGGGACAGCCACACGGTCCCGAGGACGGCCACACGGTCTTGGGGAAGGCCACACTGTCCTGGGGATGGCCACACAGTCTTGGGGAAGGCCACACTGTCCCGAGGACGGCCACACGGTCTTGGGGAAGGCCACACTGTCCCGGGGACAGCCACACAGTCTTGGGGAAGGCCACACGGTCCCGGGGACGGCCACACAGTCTTGGGGAAGGCCACACTGTCCCGAGGACGGCCACACGGTCTTGGGGAAGGCCACACGGTCCCGGGGACGGCCACACGGTCTTGGGGACGGCCACACAGTCTCAGGGACGGCCACACGGTCTCAGGGACGGCCACACAGTCCCGGGGACAGACACACAGTCTCAGGGACGGCCACACGGTCTTGGGGAAGGCCACACGGTCCCGGGGACGGCCACACGGTCTTGGGGACGGCCACACAGTCTCAGGGACGGCCACACGGTCTCAGGGACGGCCACACAGTCCCGGGGACAGACACACAGTCTCAGGGATGGCCACACGGTCCCGGGGACGGCCACACAGTCTTGGGGACGGCCACACAGTCCCGGGGACGGCCACACGGTCTGGGGGCCACACTGTCTCAGGGACGGCCACACTGTCCCGGGGACAGCCACACGGTCTTGGGGACGGCCACACGGTCTTGGGGA